TCGGGGCTTTTTTGCGGAAAACCGTGTCTAGATTGGCCACGGATGCTTTTCCGCAAAAAATGCTTTTGCGGAAAAGCGTCCTGCCAATCTAGATGCGCTTTTCTGAAATGCTTTTAATGGAAAACTTTTCCGTTAAAAGCATTTTCGGAAAATCATGCCAGTGTAGATGTAGCCCTGGTGTTCGTGTTGCTATTCTGCCTGCCTGTTTCCAGAGGGAGTGCCTTTCTGTCTCTGTGGGTGTCATGGCTCACAGGTCGTGCCCACACTTGGCTCCTGGGCAGACCCCCCCTCTCCAGTGTGGCAGGCCCCTCCCAGGGAGCCCGCTCCTCTCCAGTGGCCGGGAGACAGACCCTTCTCGCCCACGCTCACCCGGGGGGTCCAACCCTCAGCCTCCGGGACAGCGCCTCGCAGGGCCTTCAGCATGCCTGCCTCCACTGTGAGCCCTCTCGGAGGGTCCACTCCCTCTGAACCCCCAGAAGGAATGGTGCCCCCTGTTCTCCAGACCAGAGCAACTATCAGCCAGCACAAAACAGACTGGTTTAATTGAGCTTTGAAGACAGCAATGGGTCTCTCCAGCCAGTAGGCCTGGGCCCTCAGCCCTCACCTCAGTCTCTCCAGCAGCCAGCTGAGCCTTGCTTGCTTTGCCCTCAGTTCCTTCCCCCCCCAAAAAAAACAGCCCCCAGTCTCCCAGCAGAGCCTCCAGTATCTCCAGCAACAGCCCCTTCCCAATCCCCATCCAATGTTCTCCCCTCACTGGGATCAGCTGGGCTGGTTGTTGGGGTCCCTCTCTGCAGCCCATTGTCTGTCATCCGGCCAGAACTGGCTGTGTCCTTTAAGCAGGGGTGGGGTCACCAGGGCCCCAGATACCATGGCTCCAACTCTGGGCTGTTCTCTGAAAAACTTCCCACCTTTGTCACATGAAACCAGTAACTTCTGGGCACTAAATGCCCCCCCTGTATGCAACACCCCAGTTTTGGCGGTTCCACTTCCTCACAGTGGGCCAGGCTGGAGTCCAGACGGGCAATGCCAGCCGACATGGAATCCTGCCAGAGGGGACCTTTCCTAGCCTGAAAGCCAGTAAGCAAGTGGATTCCTTGTTTGAGACTTTCTGCGAGACGGCAGCAGGGAAGCATGTTCCCAGAGCCGTGTTCACAGCCCTGGAGCCCGTTGTCATCGGTAAGATACGGACACGGAGGAATGGCCTTGACGTAAGCGACTGTCCATCTCGCCATGTCCTCCAGCACCAACCCCAAACACTTGCAGGGGTGGGAAAGCGGCCTCCAAGTTATTGACATCCACTCAGGCAAGGAGTGAGGTCCCCCTCACAGCCCAGTACCCTGTCTGCTGACAGTGGCCAATGCCAGGTACCCCAGAGGGAGTGAATTGAACAGGTAATGTCTCTCCTGCCATCCATCTCCACCCTCTGACAAACAGAGTCTAGGGACACCATTCCTTATCCATACTGACTAATAGGCACTTATGGACTTAACCTCCATGAATGTATCTAGTTCTTTTAAACCCTATTATAGTCCTAGCCTTCACAATCTCCTCAGGCAAGGAGTTCCACAGGTTGACTATGCACTGTGAAGAACTTCCTTTTATTTGTTTTAAACTTGCTGCCCATTAGTTTCATTTGGTGGCCCTTAGTTCTTATATTAGGGGAACAAGTAAATAACTTTTCCTTATTCACTTTCTCCACATCACTCATGATTTTATAGACTATCATATCCCCCCTCAGTGTCCTCTTTTCTAAGCTGAAAAGTCCCAGTCTCTTTAGCCCCTCTTCATATGGGACCTGTTCCAAACCCCTGATCATTTCAGTTGTCCTTTTCTGAACCCTTTCCAAGGCCAAAACATCTTTTTTGAGGTAAGGAGACCACATCTGTACATAGTACTAAAGATATGGCTGATTGGAGTGCTCTACCCCGGAGAGGTAGCCTCAGTGCGAGAGGATACCCCAACATCTGGAAGGAGGGTCCCGGCTATGGGATGTATCAGAGGGGTAGCTGTGTTAGTCTGGATCTGCAAAAGCGACAAGGAGTCCTGTAGCACCTTATAGGCTAACAGATGTATTGGAGCATAAGCTTTCGTGGGCAAAGACCCACTTTGTCAGATGCATGACGTCAGATGCAGTGGGTCTTTGCCCACAAAAGCTTGTGCTCCAGTACATCTGTTAATCTATAAGGTGCTACAGGACTTCTTGTCGACTACGGGAAGGTTTCTCTCTGCTCCCGTTCAC